CCCCAAAACCCCAAAACCCCAAAACCCCAAAACCCCTCAAATTAAGAAATTAAATTTTTTAATGAAATTAAGATTATATCAAGATTCAGGTGCCTTAAGATACTATCTTAAAGCTTTATTAAATACTCCTATTGGAGATCTACTATTCTATCTTTCCTATTATTCCACAGCAGTTGGTCTTACTTTGAATTTTGTTTAATGATTACCTTAATTTTATTCATTCTGAACACCATAAATTGAAAGACTTTTTATCATTTAATCATATTGATCGCTCTCTTATTGCTATCTTTCATGAAAGTAATTTACAAAATTTCCAATTTAGGTGATTTTATACTAAGAAAGCTCACTTCTTTAAGGAGTGGAAGAATTTAGTCTCTTTTTTTATTCATCTAATTACTTTTCAATATATTAAGGTCTTTCACCTCGTTTTATGTTTTGCCTCTAAAATCCGGTTTCTCTTGATTAACTCTTTGAAAATTTATTTTCCCTTTTTATTATGAAATCTTATTCGAAATGCTTTTGATTTATTTAATTAAGATTGGATTTATTTTTAACATTCTATTATATCATAAAAGGTTATTAAGATTTCATTTGTTGCAAGTATTTTTATTAACCATTAAGTGATCTTTAGGATTAGTTATCGTCTTTTACCATTGTAATTTAATTTGGCATTAGCTTAAGCTTCTATATGCCCATTGGTGATACACTATATTCAGTGTTTATCTATTAATGTTGAGAAGGATGTTCACTGAAAGAGAAGCCTCTATTTTAGGAACTATTATCAATCATATACTAATTTCTCTGCTTTGAGTTCATACTAAACTCCAAAAGTAAATTTCTATTTATCTCAGTATTTTATAGGCCAACACTTTACTAACTTTTCATAGTCCTTTGACCTATATAGTCTTCATCATTTTCTGAAAAGCTTTCATCAGTTTGCTCTCTTATTTAGAATTAACTTTGGACTCTCAGAGGTCGATTGACAATCGTATTTGTTTTAGAAGAGTTTCTGCCAGAATTTTAACCACTTTTGCTTAAATATTCTGAGGCTTTTTCTTCTTCTTCCTCAAGCCCTAGAAGTACATTTTAAATCTTATTCAATTTGAGTTTTATGTCTCCAACTTTCATTTTATCCCCATTATCAGAAACTTCACTTATTATTTTATGAATATCATGCTACTTGATCGGTTTAAATCTCTTTAAGACTTCTGATTTTTCTCTTTGAGCCTGTTTTATCTCTTAAACTTCTTATTCTTGCTCTTATATTTGCTTTGTAATCGATATTGATTTTAATGATCCAAATTTACTTGCGAAATCTAATCTACCTATCATCACTTCTAATTTCTTGAAATTCACTAATTAGGCCTTAAGTTACTATTTCGCCTCAGCCTAAGTTTTAAGTAGTTTTTCAATTGCATTATAGCATTTTTAATTCTCAATTAGTTCAAATCCTATTCTTCGAATATCACCCTCAACCTTTTCAAGAATCAACCTGATTTTTTCTTCTTGTGGAACTTCTTCTGGTGTTAACGCAGATCTTTCGATCTTAAATCTCTCTATTAACCTTTCTAAAATTTCATCAATCATCATTATGTCACTCTAATGGATAGGATTATTTGGATCTTTCTTAAACTTATTCTTTGATCTAGACTATCTCAGAAAGTTTAAAACACTTAACCCTGCAAGTCTATTTACAGTTTTTCTAACAGTTAGCCTATTTAATAATACAAATGATTTCCCCTCCATAAATGAAAAATCTTTTGATTTATTCAAAGAAACCATAGTCATTGATACTAGAAATGTTCCTATATAGCAAGCTATAAATATGAATGTTCTGCCGAAATAAGTAACTGGATAAAAATCACCGAATCCTACTGTTGTCATTGTGACCATCACTAGCCACCATCCATTCCACAAAAAACTATAGTCCTAGTAATATGCTTAGTTCTCTGAGAACTTTTTGATTATTTATCCTTCGTATTCAAACTCATCAACATAATAAGGCCTATTATCTAAATTAATAAAAAATATTACAGTTCACTTATTCTTACAGCTATTCCTAAAACAACACTTGCGAAAATGCTGATAAACAATAAGATTTAATAAGGATTTTCTTTAATTAAGCATTTCATTGCAAATGCTGTGTTTGCTTGAAATCCCTCAATTTGGCAAATTAAATCTGCCTAATCTGTTCTCCACTTAGTAAATCTTGCAATCAATCGCAAGATAAGGTATATCCTAATAGTCATAAAAAGGAGAATAAAAGCATTAATAGAATAGCGTGTATATCATTTTTGGTTCTTAAGTACTATGATTTTGTTTATATGAGGCAAGTTATGGATAGATAGTATCAGAATCTCAAGTATCATATACTTGAAGAAATGACTTTTCCAAAATGGAACATTGAATATCAATCTGCCTGAATTCTTATGATTAAGATAAGTTAAGAAGTAATGCCTTATAGATAACAATACTAAAAAATAATAATTATTGTAAAATCAGAGATAACTCAAGGTATCAAGTAATTATACACTTATATTATAATTTATTTTAATTCTTCTGTAGTATTTTAAGACTATTGAGAGAAGGTTGATCTAATCAATTAAAACTTCAACTTCTCTGACTGCTCTCACAAAAAATTATGTATACTTACTTGTTAAAACGGTCAAAATTGTACTGAAAATTCTAAAAATCGTCCCTTTTTATGTTTCTTCATATCTTTCTTTGCCTTCATCTGAGAAAAAATTATCATACTAGATCAATTAAGTTAAAAGGCCATACATCTATTTGTGCAATTATCAATCCAATAATTCCAGATATAGCCATGAATACATCGTTTATCAATAAATCCTTTTTTTGATTCTAAATTTTCATTAGTCTCTGCTCAATGCTTATCTTCAACTAATATAATAATCAGTTCAAATATTGATACTTTTTTATTTTGCTGCAGTGACTTTCTTTTGATTTCCCCTCTAAGCTCTTTTCTTCTCTAAAAGTAGGGATCATTTTCTTCTTCACTATTAAGATCTTCGCTTTCAGAACTCACACTTTATTCATACTAAATGCTATTACTCTTTCTCACTCCTGCTGAAGTTCTTGCTTGCATAACCCTTAATTATAATACTTGCTTTCCTGAATTATAGGTAACTGAAATTAGAGTTACTGTGTTTTTCTTTATCAGGGTTATATTCAACATTCTCATTAATATTATCACCACCAAGATTTCCAAATGCAGCTACTCCAGAGGCAACAGCCATTTTCAAATTTAAATTAGATAGATAATCACTTAATAATTATTATATAAATCTTTATTATAATAATAAAATCGCAATAAAATGAGTGACGAGATAAAGATAAAGTGCGTGGTGGTTGGTGATGGATATGTAGGAAAAACTTGCGCAATTATGAGGTAATCTATCCGATATTTTATCCAAATATAATAGCTATTGCCAAGATACGTTCCCAGTTGATCACATTCCTACCGTTTTTGATAATTATATTGCAACACTAGAAATTGACAAAAAACCAATTAAACTGGCAATATGGTAAATCAATCACTAGTAGTATACAAATTCTTTTAGGGATACTGCAGGTCAGGATGATTATGAGAGATTGAGAACATTGAGTTATACCTTAACTGATGTCTTCCTAGTCTGTTTCTCACTTGTTGACCAAGAATCATTCAAAAATGCTCTAAATAAGGTAAAAAAGAGATTTTCTAATTATGAAATGTAGTGGATTCCAGAACTTTTTTAGAATGCCCCAAATGCACCTATAGTTTTAGTCGGTACAAAACTTGATCTTAAAAACGAGTATGAAAAAAATCCTGAAAAGAGAATGAAGGTAGTACCTTAATCAGAGGGTCTTAAAGCTGTTCAAACTCATAATCTATTCAACTATGTAGAATGCTCTGCTAAAACATAAGAAAATTTGACGAGAGTTTATTCCGATGCAATAAGGTCAGTTTTTAAGTATAGAGAGCTATTAGCATCTAAGAAGAGAAAGAAGCAGAGAAGTTGCAACATTTTATGAGTATACACTGATTGATATCATAAGAAAGCATCTAGGGAACTGATTATTTATCAACATATCTATAATTATCCTAATCTTAATCAAAAATAATTTTAGAATCAGAAATTTATTTATGAAATGCTATGATGGGGTTTTGGGGTTTTGGGGTTTTGGGG